GTTTTTTTGGTTTTCTCAACGTTTTTTTGGTTTTTCTCAACTGTGGCACCAATGCATTTATGTAGCATTTATCTAAAATTAATGGAAAACACAAACCCAGGCCCCATGGCCACCCCTTCTGTAAAAGAGATACCCATGATACCCAAGTATCCACAGTGGCTGGTTGACATGACATCCTTACACTGCCAAGTTGCTCAACTCCCAGTGAGCCCAGAGAACAGCCAGATGCCAGCCAGCCAGAGCAAGCGTCGGATAGAATCACCTCAAGGCAACGCGATGCACAGGGCTTCAGTTGCGGTCATTGAACATCAGCGACACAAGTCCGCTCATCTTTTGAGGGGTATCACGGTATCACCAAAGAGTCTCCCAAAAGCAGTTGAGGAAAACCATGGTCAAACTCTGTGGTCTCTTGGATTGCAAATCCTCCACAGCATTGCATCACAACTCACAAACAAATGGAAAGCCTTCGGAAGAACTCCTACGCATAAACAGAACAATATCAGAAAATGCGTTTGTAGAAGAGGCGAGGGAAGCTTGGGACGCTCAAGTAATGATGCTCCGCCATGCTCTGCCGTGCTCTGCTACTCACTTGCCGGCCTCTGCTACACCACCTTTGGCACAGGACGATGACACCCACGTAATGGCTTCGCTGCCTGCAGTGGCAGTCGACATGGCTTCCTGCTGCAAACAGAATCCCCTGACTGTTGGTGAAAAAACTCCTGTACTGACTGGAGAGTCTAGGGATGGTAAATGCACTGCAAATAGCGGAGTAAGAATTCGATTGTTCCCAGCCAGATGGAAGGCCTCCCCTGCATAATTCAAAATATTTCTCCACCTCGAAAACCTCTGTTTACAGCCTCAACCCCTACAGCTCACCTGCCTGAGGCCAGTACCGGGCTCAGTACCACTCATGACCAGTGTGCAAGAATCCCAGCTTGGATTTGCCCTGAGGTTCTGGCTGGCATCTGCCTTCTCAAAGGGGGCTAAGGCCCACTCCGCTGATAGTAGGCCTTTTACTTGGTGCCGGAAAATGGATTATCCGTCACCGTACATGTACAAGCTCCCTGTACGAACGACTTCGGGGACTGGGAATTTCCTTGCTGACCGCAGTTGCCAAATCTGTCCAAGAGTTTTTCAGCAAATGAGAAGCACAGGAGTCTGAGCCCTGCGCTGATTTCTTCAAGTCTCATGGTTCTAGAAAGACTTTCTATCGATCGAGACCTCAAAGTCCAGAGAAAATCTTGGCCCGTACAAGGCACACAGGTTGACATGCTCAGTTGGCGACAATGCTCCAGGAGGCAACTCATCGGGCATGCCTCAAAGCTATTGCTTTGTCTTTGCTGCCTCTTCAGTGATCATGTGTCGCTGATCTCCGAACCTGATTCTGCGCACATCTTCGCAGACTTCAACAGCCAAGGTGCCTCACAGGAACATGTTCTTTGCGTTCTTCACGGAAGAATCAGAACAGCATGGCATGCTCAAAGGAGCACCCCGCAAGAGGTTCCCGCCA